ACACACACAATCATAAAATTAATTATTAAGAATAATTTAAATTCCTTTAATCATTAGTCATATTGATATGTAACGTGACGATTTTTCAGAACACGATTGTATATTATGTACCACTTTGAACTGTACTATAATTACAGTCCTTTCTGACCCCTTTCCCTTCCCCCGTTTTGTGCTTCTGTTTTGTTTGTTTTGGGGAGATGGGATGTTGTTGGGTTGTTGTTCTTTTGTTGGGTTTTGTTTTCTTTTTTTTCCCCTTAGTGGGCTTGGTGAGATGGGAGTGGGGTTTCAGTAGATAAAGTAATGAACAAAGAGCTCTTGCCGTGCTATTTTTTAAAGCGATGATCTTGTAAGCTGTGTACTGTGGCTCTTCTCATTCGCCATTGACTTGTGGCATGATGTTTCATACTAGAAATAAATGCTTGATGTAGGTTTGGCTCACACGTTGTCAGCCTAACCAGTATAAGAATCTTTGTTGCGATAGTAGGCTCTTCACTAATGATACACACAGAATCTGTGACAGAAGATACGAGCTAAATTCCTAAGTGAGTTTTGTTTTTCTGTACATGTATAAAGCATCTGCTGGTATGCTACGTGTACTTTGCAGTCAAAATTGTCTGACTGACACCTATTCTCTGAGAGAAAATGGCTGTATTAGACAGGTGGGGCTGTTTTTGTTTTTGTTTTTTGTGGGGAATTTGCCGTCGCTAACCGGATTCGAACCCAGGACCTATTGAATGAAAGGCAAACGCCTGAACCTCTAGGCCACGAGAGCCCCCTCAGACAGGTGTCTTACACGTTTTCATCATTATACTGTGTTTTAAAAAAACGCAGGGTGAGAAGAAATGGGATGTGGTGTTTGTACTTTGTACAGGTGATTGTTTTATACAGTTGACCGTTATACGGAATGCCCATTGCGGGTGGGGTCGGGTGCGATGGCCCTACTCGTCGTCTGAAAATAAACGCGTCTGTTCTTGAGGCGACTAGTCGGGCACGATCGCCTTGTTCTATGGTAGCCGCTTTTCGCCCCCAATCTGGCTAGCAAACATTCCCCGACCCGACCCGATCCCCCTATGGACACCCCGTATTAGACTAGAGTAGGTTCGACTGTATATTATGGTTACTTTTAAAGACAAGCGCGCTAACCCAGATTTCGGGGGTTTCCAGATATCTTGACCGACACCAAAAGTTGGCATTGCCCTGCTACCTTTTGGAGAAGTTTGGTTTCATTGGTGTGTATATTTGTTTGGTTATAATAGAGTAAACCCTTCTTGTCTTTTAAAGAAACTAAACAAGGGCCAAAAACTTCACCTTCGATTTTCTCAATACAGCATTTTTCGGGATACCCCCTCCCCCTGTGCTTAAAAGCGACCATATTATATCACACTCTAACTGAGTTTGCACCCCCCCCCCTCCCCGTTGCGGTGCCACTGACTGAAGTGTCTTTAGGACATTCCCAAAGGGGGGACATTTCTCGTTCATGCACAGTAGAATTGTAAATGGGCTGATTCATCAATGTCACGCTCATAACTGTGCCTGGTCTACAACAGGGAACTGCTGCTTTTTCTGTTCTAATCTTTACTGTTTTCATTCTTCCTGTACTTCTTTTGTTCGTTTGTCACAACACGTTTGTGACCCACTATTTCCGGGGTGCCTTGATAGTCGAAGCAGACAGAGAGGTGAGCAGAGTAAGTCTGATTCCCTGTAAGGACTTCTCTGTTGACATCCACCCCTTGGCGCTCATATGACCTTATGAAGTTGCGAGCGCCGTAAAACCTCTACTAAAACTAAAGCCAAACTAAGTGAGTTTTCCCTGACACGCATGATGGTCGGGGCAACCTGTCTCCTTAAATTAATTATCCCAATTATGTCAATGGGGGGCGTAAGAAGTTCACAATCGTTACGTCATAGCCGGCCTCGAACTTGTGTACGTGCATGGTAACCAGCTGCACTGTAACGATGTGGGTGGTTGGGGTGGTTGGCGGGTGCTCTGGTGTGGTTTGCTCCTTCTTTCCTATCATACATCTATCGTCCTTTTCTCTCCTCCTTTTTTGTGTATGTTGCTCTCTCGTAACCCATCTATTCATCGGTACTTATGACCTTAATTGTGTTTCAAGTTCAAGTGCCGTAAAATTCTTATTAAATCTAAAACTGTAACGATCATTGGGCGAAAGTTCATCCGTGTAGCCATCCTGATACTAGTGGGCGTGTGTCATTGGGCTAAGTTTGGTCCGTATAATCAGTCGTGGAGTAGAGCAATTGTTGTCGACCTGGGTCATACAATCTGAGTTACACTCAGAATGCTGAGTATCTCTAGCTGAAAAATATTATTGCTTGTATTACTGTTCATTTATTATGTATGTGACTGTAAGCCTGTGTGTGTGTGCATGTATGTGTGTGGATGTGTGTGTGTATGTGTGCGTGCGTGCGTGTGTGTGTGCATGTATGTGTGTATGAGTGTACGTGGTGAAACACCAAACCAATGTGCCGGGATCTGGACAATTAAGATGTATCTTATCTTATCTTACCAATACAATTATGTAATACTGACAATGACTGGGCCAAATTTTGGTCCGTACAGTCACACTGATACTTGTTCAATTTCAGTTAGGTAAGAGTTTTACTTCGCTCACAGCTGATTCCATAAGGTCATACGAGTGCGCCTTATACTTATGACGCCTGTTATACATGCACACTAAATATATATATTTATTTTTTGTGCTGGTTTGGTGTGGGGGG